CTAAACTTGATTATTATTAATCGTCGGTATAGCTTCACAAGTCTTATATATATATATATATATATATATATATACATGCATTATATATATATATGTGTGTGTGTGTTATTTCATGTTCTTGGAAGGATAATCTGGTAACTACATTTTAATCACAATAATTTTTTATAAGAGTTACTATATCTCATTATATACCATGTGTATGATTCATTATGTTCAACATATTCAAGTAGTATAAGATTTTATTATGGTTTCATAAAAGAGACGAAATATTTTAAGATTTATAAGGAAAAAAAGAACGAGAATATAAAATCGGAAAAACAAAGAAAGGACATGAAGCTTGAAGATCCGAATTGGTTGATTTTTACTGAAATGATTCTCGACCTTCTTACAATTAGAAATTAGTCCTTTATATACCTGAAGTAAAATCGGCACACATACACCTCATATGCACACCATCTTTTCCTTTTTAACCTTAATATACATATATATATACACACACATATATATACATACATGATACTTGCGAGTCTCCATGGGGTCACCACAACCCGTTTATACTTCGAGTTTCTGTAGAATGAAGTAAGCTTGAGAGAATGAAGTAAGCTTGAGAGTGGTTTTTTTAGAATGTCTCTCACATGTTGCATCATGTTGCTAACATGATTGCTTGGTCACAATGCTTCCATCTTGAATCTTTTTACAAATTAAATGATTTCTATATACTTCATTCTTTTATGAAATACAAGATTAGTTGTAATGTGCATCGTCGTCCTGTTGTCACAATGTATGATGGCAACTAGTGGTGTTAAACTCCTAAATTATTCAAGGAGTATCTTTTCTAGATTGTCTCACAGCAAGCACTATTCATCACTCTGTATTTGTCATCAGTAGAGGAGCAAAACACAATGTGTTATTTTTTATTTATAAGAGATTAAATAAGATATATGATAAACACAATACCTTACAATAAATCTTTGGATGTCTTGGCAAGCTCCCAAATCACTATCACTATAAGTGTTGATTTGTAATTAATTTTTTTTTTTTGGATAAAATAGACCCTGTCCAAGTGCACACTTGATATATTTCAAGACTTTGTTGGCAGTGTTGAGATGTTGATCTCTTGCATTTTTTAAATTGACTTAATAGTTATATTGAATAATATATGCATGGCCTTGTAAGATTCAAATACATGAGCCTTTCAATAAGTCTCCTATACATAGTTGGGTTTGAAATCATTCCACTATGTCTTTTGACAGCCTGAAATTATGATTTAGGGGTACCTTGAAAGTTCTAGCACTCAAGAACCTTTCAACAAGTCCATAATATATTTTTGCTGACTAATATGGATCTCGTCCTTGAATCGTGCAACCTCAATACTGAGAAAGTATTGTACACCTCCTAAATCTTTAATTTTTAATTTCTCATTCATCTTTGTTAAATTTAAAAATAATTGTTGCAGTGAAAAACTATTAGGACTCCATGGGAGGAACCTAATATTGCTCCAACGGATAGATACCTCATATTATTTTATACACTTAACTGCATTCGAAGTCGAAATATCTTATATAATACAAAAATGCGGTGAAAATTAAGATAACATTTTAAGTCATCGTCTAATTTTCTGACAAATATCATATTAAAGTTGAAAGATAAACACACAAAATATTATGAAATATCAATGTATCAGTTATTTTAATCATTCTAATGCGAGATACATTCACTCTGTCACCATTTGATAAGACAACTTCAGATGAAATATTTGTTGTAATGCTTGCATTCAAATATGATGTATATATAATATGATTTGAGGTACCAATGTTAATAATTCAAAGCACAATCGTGTGTTTTTCTTGCTCTATTGAATGAGTAGAGAAATATAAGACATACTAGAAAATCATGTCATATTAGTGTCTTGATGTAAAATAGAAGGTGACTGTAACATTTGTATAGAGAATTTATTTGAATGCATAAGTGCCATTAATTGTGCATACTCTTTTTGGTTGATAATAGATTGTTCTTTAACATTATAGGATGAAGATACTTGGTTGATATTTGACGATATGGTCCTTCAATAAAACTTATGTCCTTTTTGTACATATGGAGTTTGAAACAGGTATCTATCATATGTCCTAGTATGTTGCAGCATAAACATAAAAGTTTGCTCAAGTTTGCCTTGAAGCATTGCTTAATAGAATGACTTGTCAGTTTACAGTGAAAACAATAATACTTCTCACAATTTGAGGTGGATGTTTTGATTATTTTCTTTAATTCCCTAACATTAAAGACTAGTGTTTTATTGGCTAAACATCTATAGAAATTTTTCTACACTTATCTTCTTATGGAATAGAGTAGACTTCATTCAAAATGTGAAAATGCTTTATCAGCAATGCTTATACCTTGATGGCTATATATAACTCATTTATCTCCACAAGAAACTTCATCACTAGTCCTTATGTCTATATTTCATTATAATTCTTAACCCTCCACATGTACAATTTAAGTTCAACTCACAATTTATCCACTCATCAACGAAGCCTTTAACTTTGAAAATCATACTTCCATATCTTAATTTTGCATAAACTTGACATAACTTGTTTACCTCGTA